AAAAAAAAAAAGAAATTGAAGCTAAATGAACAACCTATCTAATCCATAAGGTGGTTAAGTTGGAAAAATTTTTTTCAAGTCCGTACACAAAAAATAAGATCGAAAAAAATTTCGAAAAATTTTTTTTCATGATATTCATTACGATTGCGCGATACGTGTTACTTGAAAAAAATTTTTTGCAAGATCCAAAAATTAAAAACTTAAGCTTCAGATAGCTTTTTTTTTACTCCAATACGACCATTTTTATCAAAGATAGATATAGCCATTTGAAAAATCGCCGAAAATTTAGATTTTTTTTGACCCCTTAATTTTTTCCATTAGTGTATAAAATATAGAGCGTCCTATTAAAAAAAATGTTGGTAATGTTATAGGTCTGTCAAACATGGCTCAATAAAATAGAAAATATTGCAGAAAAGTGACAATTTCTATTTACTAATTGACCTGTTTCAGAGATTTTTTAAAATCTGAATTGGAAAAAATATTAATTTTGTTCCATCATTTTGGGACACAGTGTATATTCTTATGATGTAAAGAGTACAGTTATAAGAAGGCAACAGTTGTGTCATTTTTGGTTTCAATAAAATTATGTGAAAGAGAACTCGTCTTACAGCCAATCCTGTACCACATTGTACCCGCCCTAACACGATCTCTAGTAATAACCAATACAGTAGAAAATTTAAAACTGTTTCTCTGTAGAACATATTTTAAAAAACATGCGACAAATATGTTTTTTTAGGAAATAAATGGCATTTTAAAAAATACTTGTTTGGATAATAAACTGAATTCTGTGACGGGCAATAACTAAACTCAGGTTGACCCAGGTACAGTAGCTCCTCCTCCTTTAGAGGATATTTATATATCAAAAGCAAGTGCAAATATAATAATATTAAATCAAAATTGCATTTGCAGCGAATATGTCATTCTATGGCAGTCTCTATATCTGCACTTTTTTCATTTCAGTTTGTATATCAGTACCACAGCATAATGTGGTCGCTAACTGCAAAGGGTGAGGTTCAAGCAAACCTAAAGAATATGAAAGCAAAAATAATTATCAGTTTCGATTTTGAAAAATGTGTTGTTTCTTTAGATCAATTTAATATTACAGACCAGGGGTAAGTAAACAGAAGACTTACATTAGAACTTGACTTATACATTATATTTATTTATTGTGTCAAAAGAAAAGTTTTTTTACAAAATGTAAGCCTTTTACTTCCATCCATGGAAGATTTACTAGTGAGCTTTGTATTTTGTAATTTAGATTTTTATGATATTTTAATCATTATACTGGGCGTACCAAAATGAATATCGGGATTTTAAAGCTTTGTAGAATTTATTACAGTGACCTTACCATTACAAATTATACATCAAATGAACGAGCAACTCATACAGTTCGTTCTACAAGTGTTCAATGTGAGCACCCTCCGTCACACGGTACACATCAAGTCGATAGCCGAGTTCGTCCCAAACCTTGCTCAGTGTGTCTGGAGTGATTGATGCAACTGCAGCTTCAATCTATGTCGTAGATCGTTTAAGTCAGCTGGTAGCGGAGGCACATACGCCCGATCCTTTACAAATCCCACAAACCCCCAGGAGGTAAAAATCGCATGGCGTCAGATCTGGTGAACGTGGAGGCCATGCGAAACAAGCTCTGTCATCCGACTCTTGCGGCCAATCCACCTGTCGGGAACAACGTTGTTTAACCAATCGCGTACGAAGGCATGCCAATGAGGCGGCGCACCATCTTGCTGTCAAATAAAGTTCTCTGGTTCAGCTTCGTGTAATTAAAGAAAGAGCCATTGTTGTAACACATCACTTACTAACTTAATACGGAACGCACGTTGCACTCTAATTACAGATTCAGTCTTTGCAATCTGTAACACACAAAAAGCTTTCTGCTCCCTAGTCGCCATCTTGACTACTAGCGCTTCTAACGGAAGACGGAGGAACCAGAGCATGCGCACGCGCACGAACAAACGCGTAGGACAAACTATTTGAGTTGCTCGAGTGTATAATTTGTAATGGTAATGTCACTGTAATAAATTCTACAAAGCTTTAAAACCCCGATATTCATTTTTTACGACCTGTTACCTATTATACTTATAAGTATTTTTAATAATATATTTATTCTTATTTTCAGGCAATTAAGCGTTTCATTTTCTGGGCGGGGTTTTTTGGATTGGATCTTCAGTCTTTGTTCTACTTCCTCCATGCATTTCAGTATGATTCAAGATATTCGGAATACGGTGTCAGAGGAATTAGAGAAAATCGTAGCAAAAATTAATAGTGCCCTTAAATTTATACTGCAGGAATAAGAAAAGTTAATATGAATTCATATTTATAAGTGTTATTAATAAACTGTAACCAGGAACCATCCAGAGAAAATTATATAACACGTAAAATTCGAAAATTTATAGACAGCAGATATACATTTTACTATAATAACTTTTTTCCTCAGCGGTGTTCACAGTTCGGGAAAACGGAATTTGCTGTCCAATTTGTTAAAAAGTCAAAGATGAAAAAGTTACACAAGCAAAGTACCAAGGGCCCCCCGTACCCACCCCAATGGACCTTGTGGAAATAAATGGATTAGTCCATCAAATTGCTCATCAAAATTTAGCTGTGTATACCAAATTTCATTCATTTATCACAACGTGATTGAGAGATATTGCAAAAAAATGATTTCCATTCCTCCCTCTTCAATGGGTCCCTGTGCCCTTAGGAAGCATTTCCGGACCCATGTTTATATGAACTTTTTTACTTAGTTTTGATCATAGAATCGGCCTGTTCAGGGTTGTCAGCTAATTATGAGACACCCTGTATACAAATTATTATAAGTTTGTAATTTTAGCAGAACTTTTTTTTATGGACGTCTATTAAATTTTAATGCCAGACGTTTTTTTTGCATAATCAACTGACTTCGGAAGTACTATAGTTGATTGTTGATTGGCATTCATATTCTTATTATACTTACAACACATTCTTTCGGATGGGATATAAATATAATTGAGTTCAAAATTTCGTAACAGCGATGTATTCAAAGTTTGCTATTTATTTCTTTTATAATGCGAAATAAAAACATAAAGAAAGTTATTGTTTTCTACCCTATTTTTATTATTTTATTACAACGATCAATAGAACCAAAAAATATTAGAACATCACATAACTGTGACTGACTCTTTCAGCTTTATTGTGGATACTACGACTGTCATTGTCAGTATTCTTCGAAATAGGTGAGAAAGAAGAAAATTCTTAAATAAGGTACTAATAGTTGTTTTCATGTTATCAACAGAAACTGGGTTTTGGAAATATTTAGGTATGTATTGTCATTAATTTTAATGATAAACCTTGAATTTGTGGAATCGATAGATAATTTTTTTTAAAGTGCTTAAACAAACTAACCTTACACTAAACTGGCACTGTTTACTTTTATTTCAACATCTGAAAATATATTTAAAAACTATTGTTTTACTATCAACATGTAGTTCCTAGATGAAGTGGTTATCTGTGAGTTTCGGTTTGGTCTATATTCCGTAGGTACCATTAATTAAATTGTAAGCAATGAAATGCTTCGTGCTAATTTCGATATTTGCATTAAGTGTGGCAGAGAATGCAAATGAAACAATTTTAAAACGTCCGAGTTTAAATCACAAAATTCCTCGGTTAAACTCATTAGATCAACTTATACTTGACCCTTATGAAAATAGGTAAGTTGAGATTCTCCAATTATATTCAACAATATGTTTTGATATTCATATTATTTGCTTAGAGTTGGTGAAATAACTGCAGTTATTAACGATTATGCGGATGATGTATTTGAAAAAGTTCAGAAGTTAATAATAAGAACTGGACTTGATCCTGTTGAAATACCAGATCAACTGCTAAAGGTAAAAAATGTTCCAACATAATCTTTTTAAGAAGGTATTATTATTTCCATACCTATTAGTTGTGTTTGTTTTGTATGTTACGTATATGAGATACAACAGTTAGGTTAAACCTTAATTAATTTCCAGAAAGTTATTAGCTTTTCTCCTATAAGGAAATTTATTTTATATTATTGCTTGATCAAAATTGTTATAACTGGAACTCGTTATTTGCATGCGAGATCAGTATCGACACTAAGATGTTTAGTAGTAATTTAACTGTATTCAAGATATTAAAATAAACTTACCTCAAGTACGTTGTTTTACTAACAACTACAAAATATTTTAGTTTATCAAGAGTTAAATTTTCATATTTAATTATTCACAACTTTTTCTGGACGTATTACTGTTAGTTTCTTTTTTATGACAAACATTTGGCGACGGTTTTGGCTTAATAGTTACTCAGACAGCTCAGATACATGCGAAATCTATTTAGAAAATAACCGAACTTTTTCAATTACGCCCTAATGGATATAGGTATTTAGTAATACGCAGTTGGCAGTATTGCGTTGTGCATAATCACCTCTGTAACCACATGTTCTTGATGTGTTCTCATTTAGTTTTCGTGATATTGTTATTTGAGTGTAACTTGTTTAAGCGTTAGTGATGATTTTTTAAATGCATGGAAAACTGTAACGGAAACGTTTTCAATTTTGAAACAAGTGTACGGAGATGATGCTCTGGGTCGTACGTTGTGCTGTTACGACTGATTTTCACGGTTTAAAGTGGTCGTTAGTCAATTGAAGATGATCCTCGACCAGGAAGCCCTTCGACTTCAATTGATAAGTCCCACGTTCAAAAAGTTAAAGATCTGGTGCGTGCAAATCGACGATTGACGGTCAGAGAAATTGCAGAAGAGGTTATCATCCAAATTGGGTGATGCTATGACATTTTGACTGAAAAATTGAACATGCATCGAGGTGCAGCAAATTTTTTTCTCGTTTGATGACCGAACAATAGAAAGAAAACCGTGTGAACGTTTGTCGGCAACTCCTTGAATAATCCAGTGACGATGAAACATTCATTCAAAGGATCATAACAGGAGACGAAAGTTGGGTTTACGGCTACGACATTGTGACAAAATTTCAGTCATCACTATGGATTGGCAAAGGATCTCCACGCTCCAAGAAAGCACTCAAGATGAAACAGTGAACTGTGAGTACTATCACGGCGGCTTCGTTTCACAACAGCTACATGAAAAAATCCACAAAAAACGACCAAAGTTATAGCGATACAACTCATGTTTCTTGCACCACGACAATGTGCCCGCACACGCATCTTTGTCAAATAGTCAGTTTTGTGCCAAAAATCATATTACTGTCCTCCATTACCCTCCTTACTCGCCAGACCTGCCTCCTTTTGTGACTTTTTCTTATTTCCGAAATTAAAATCAATGCTGAAAGAATGCCGTTTTCAGACTATCGATGACATCAAAGCAAATTCGTCACAGACTTTAAAGGCCATTTAAAATGAAACTTCGCGAAATGGAAACACCGCTAGGAAAAATAAAGACAAAATAAAGTTCGGTTATTTTCTGAACAGATTTCGTATTCCTATTAAAATTATTGAAATTATTCATTATCAACCGTACATATACAGGGTGTTAGTAAATAAGTGCGACAAATTTCAGGGGGTGATTTTACATGAGAAAATAATGGCAGTTTGCTTATAAGCGTATGTCCGCAAATGATTCGTTTTCCGAGATACGGGGTGTCAAAGTTTTTCTTAAAAACTGACGATTTAATTTATTGCTCTGAAACCGGTCGAGATGTGCAAATGAAATTTGGTGGGTTTTAAGAGGTAGTTATTGCGCATTTTTT